AACCAAGGCTGGCGCCAAGGTTGTTTCTCGATCTTCAGACTCTGTTTTGTTAAATTATCTTTTTTGGACGATTTTCTCTATAAAAACAATATCGTATCAAAAACTCCGTTTTCATCATCAATTACCATTCATTAATTCTCTTCATTCATCATCTACAATCATCATTCACGAATTATCATCAATTCTCATCAACTCTCTTTATTCACCAATTACCATTCATCTAATTATTCGCAATTCATTCATTCATCATCTTTCTTTCATCAATTCTCAATAATATTAATTCTTTAGTATTCTTTTCTAAACTTTGCTTTTTAACACAAAATTCCGTATTCGCAAGATCTAGAAACACCTAGCCATATTCGAAGTTGCCTTCGCCCTAGACGTGAAAGGTTTTAATTTCTGAGGGTTTGGTCCCAAATCTCTCTTTCAATTATTTAATTTAATTGTTTTGATTATTATTTTCCTTGAAGTTACTAACGTGTGTATTTTGTTATTAGAAAGAGGTACGAGGCATCCAAGTAAGTACTTTATTGATTAATTGATATTATGATGTAGAAATCATGTTTATATTGTTATTATGATTCCTAGTATCATGTCTAGGTTAATATGATTGTTATGATGCCTTTTATTCTCTTCCTAATATTTATGATTGTTAGTATCATGTTAGGGCTAAAGCTTTGATTTTTATTGCTTAGTGACATGCTAGGGTTTGTTATTAATCTTGTTAGTATCATGCCTAGGATCTTGCTATGCTTTAACATGATTATGATTATCATTAATTATGATTGATATTATTATTATTAATGATGTTGATTATTTATTATGTTGCTTGATATTTATGGTATTGCTTGATCACCTTTATTGCATGTTAAAGGGAATTTGTACTTGCAATCACGCTTAATAAGATATTTAATAGTCTTGTTAGGTTAATTGTGATTATAATTCAAGTGATCGCCAATAATAGGTTTATTTGTGCATTAAAATTCAACCATCATAGATTAAACAGGTTTAGGGTTAATCCTATTGATTGCATGTTAATCAGAAAGCGCACATGAATACGAGCAGAATAAAGTAAAGACCTATTATTTGGACAGGTTCAATCACTTTTAGGTTGGATTTGTACCTTCATCCCCAGACCCTTATTTGGTTTATGACCTTATGGAGTTGACGATCTCTTGGATCGTTAAGGGGTGTAACCTTCACCTTGTAAACGGTTTACAAGTTCCTTAAAAATTTGTTGGCGACTCTTTTGCTCTATCTTCTTCCCTTTTGGACGCCACCGTACTTTAGTGTATGATCATAGTGGGGTTCGAGCTAGTGGGATTTTAAAGGCTTGAAACTATTCCCCACAGTTGTCATTGAATGTAAGGTTGCCAACCAACTGGTTGGAAGAATCCTTGTTGACACCGGCAGCTCATCATACATCATCAGCCTCCGGTGCCTGCAAAAGCTGAAATACAATGTCAGCAGCATGCATCCGATCACCCACCCCTTGGTTGGTTTTGGGGGTGGGATGGTCTTCCCAGCCGGAAGAATTGACTTACCCATCCGGCTAGGGGAGAAAGTCTAGGGGCGACATATTGTCATCAGATTCTTGGTCGTTGAGGAGTTGACCGCCTACAACATTATTCTTGGCCGGCCAACCCTCAACGTAGCCAAGGAAATAATCATCCAGTCTCTGATGCTCATCAAAAATGAGAGGGATGAAGGCTCTATTGGTTCCTTGAATAGGGATCAGAAGACGGCTCGGGAGTGCTATCTCTCAGCCGTCAGAGACACTGTGGCCCCAGGCGGTCAGGAACCAATTGACCTTGACAATGTCAAGGATGCCGATCCAGCACCTGCCCCACCAGCAGCCGGAAAGAAAAGAAAGGCACCTCTGCTGGTGGAGGTGAAGAAAGAGAAAAAATAGCAATCATTGACCGGTGAACGGTCAGATGAGCTGTGTCCCCAACCGGCTGGTGAAAGCATTGATCTCGTTCTGGATGACAGCCGTTCGGACCGTACTGTAAAGGTTGGGACGGTTGCTCATGCTACTTTGGGTGCAGACTTGCACCTTTTGCTGAAGGAATTCAAAGACATTTTTGCCTTTGAAGTGGAAGAGATGCCAGGCGTCAGGATCTTGATGTCCACAAGCTCGCCGTGGATCCTAAAAAGAAGCCCATCCGGCGAAAGAAAAGAAACCACGGTGAGGAAAGAAGTCAGGCGGCAACTGCCGAAGTCAAAAAGCTTCTAGACGCCAGGTTCATCCGGCCTTGTAATTTTCCCGACTGGGTAGCCAATGTGGTCCTTGTTAAGAAACCGAATGGGACCTGGCGCATGTGTGTTGATTACACAGACCTCAACAAGGCGTGTCCAAAGGACAGTTACCCGCTTCCAAAGATCGACAGTTTGGTCGATTCTACAGCCGGTCACGCCTTGATGAGCTTCATGGATGCCTACTCCGGCTTCCATCAGATACCCTTGTGGAAGAAAGATCAAGAGAAGACGGCCTTCGTCACTGATCTGGGGTTATTCTGTTATACTGTGATGCCGTTTGGCTTGAAAAATGCGCCTGCCACTTTTCAACGGATGATTAATACGGTCTTCATTAATCAGATTGGGAGGAATGTGGAGGCGTACATTGATGATATATTAGTAAAATCCAAGCTCCAGACAGATCACCTTTCTGATCTCCGAGAAACATTCACCACCTTCAGGCGGCATAAGGTTATGTTAAATCCTAAGAAATGCGTCTTTGGTGTTGAGTCTGGGAAGTTTCTCGGATTCCTGATTGATCAAAGGGGGATAGAGGCTAACCCTGAAAAGATACAGGCGGTGATAGACATGAAGTCACCCTGCTTGCAAAATGGGGTATGGACATTCTAGGTCCTTACACAAAATGGGGTATGGACATTCTAGGTCCTTACACACCTGCTCCAGGCGAAAAGCGCTACATCTTAGTGGCTGTGGATTATTTCACCAAGTGGGTAGAAGCTGAGGCGGTTAAAAACATCAAAACCTCAGACGTGATTTCCTTCATCTAGAAAAGCATTATCACCCGGTATGGGGTACCTATGTCTATGGTGTTTGATAATGGTCCTCAGTTTAAGATGCCTCAGCTAAAAACTTGGTTGGGAGATCAGGGGATCTCAAGCTATTTTGCATCATTTGGCCGGCCCCAAGCAAACGGCCAAGTTGAAGCCTTCAATAAACTCATATCATACGGCATTAAGAAGAAAATAGAAAGAGCCGGTGGCTTATGGGCAGAATAGTTAATCCATGTCCTATGGGCCATCCGGACAACAGCAAAAGAGGCAACCGGTGAAACCCTATTTCTCATGGTTTACGGTGCTGAAGCCGTCTTGCCTATCGAACATTGCGAGCCGACCCTCAGGGTCATGCTATATGATGAAGAGGAAAATTGGGAAGCAATGCGCCTGACATTGGATTCACTCCCAGAACGCAGCGGCAATGCCGCCTTGCGTCATGAGATTTACCGTCTGAGAATGACGAGAGCCTACAACAAAAAAGTACACAAGCGTCCTTTGAAAGTTGACGACTTAGTGTTACGAAAAATGGAGGCAACCGGTAGGGCCAATGAGCTGGGGAAGCTAACCCCAAACTGGGAAGGCCCCTAACGGATCTATGAAGAAGTAAGGGATGACACCTACCGCCTGGAAACTCCAGACGGCAGGCGTCTGCCTAGAACTTGGAATGTAGACAATCTACAAAAGTACTACTTCTGAGAATGTAAACGTTTTGTAAACATTGAGTCAATTAATGAAGATTCAGACTTTGTTTGCAAAATTGAGTTTGTTTGATTCTCCATCCGGGTAATACCTAGACAGATTCTTCATTTACCTAACTAAGTTTGATACTTAGTAAAGGTTACATTTGTTGGACCGCTTGGGTAACACTCGGATCCCTTGTTTATTTAAGTTTGATACTTTGTTTATTTAACTGCCTAATTATCTGCCTGGGTAATACTCAGACGGATTTTTCATTTATCTAAGTTTGATACTTAGTAAGATCAAATATTTGCCTGTCCGTCTGGGTAATACCCAAACAGACTCGTTTGTTTAAACAACTAATTTCGATACTTAGTGTAAATTCAATACTCTGACTAAAAACTAAGCACAAAAACGTTTAGTGGCTATACAACCGGTCTCAAACAAGATCAGAGGCTAAGGTGGCCGGATGGTTGCTCATTTTATAAAATCGCCTGTCCCAACATGGACAAAGGCGTCCGGCGACACCCCTCCGGGTGCAATCGTCGCAGAGAACAGACTATTTGTCGGTTCTACGTACCCATGTTGACGACAAAAATTGAACGACCAAATTGGTCAACTCATAGCCGTCTGATCAAAATGACCTGTGAAGAATGATCAAGTTGCCGAATACCGGATGCCCTGGGGCATCAGTCGGTCACCGGCTGAAGATCTCACTTAGGTTATTTATTCCAAAATTGCAATTCCTACCTCAATTGGGGCAAAGGAGTTGTACAATGGCTATGAAATCTCTATCAAGACGGATAAATACCGTCTGGGTAGTGACTGGAACGCCTGTTGGGGTACGGCTGTGCACTTAGTTTGGGGAAATCACTATTGTGATTGATTGACTTGCAAACATATCATGCTCTTTACAGCATCAGACGTTTTCAAGTCAATCAACCAACTCCACTTGAAACCAATCACACAGCCGTCCAGGGGCAAGGACAGCCGGACTATTGATTAGTTAGGCAAAAATGAAAAATCGCCGCATGCTTTTGATAAGTTGGGCAAAAATGAAAAATTAAAATTTGCAAAAAATAAAATTTAGATGCAAAATGATCAAAATCGACTCAGTCGGTGCATTTCATAAAGACCACCCAACCAAACGGTTGTAGTGGATTAAAATGTTAACCGGACCCCAACCGGGAGAAAGAGATTGTTAATTAACCCGGCTCCTTAGCCGATAAATACAAATATACTCGGCACGCAGGCCAGAAAAACAGAGATTGGCATACTGCCGCTGAAAAGTCACTTCTGGCCTGCAGGCGGCTCCTCCTGTTCCTCCTCCTCATCATCTGAGGGTATCTCCTGCGCTTCACCCGGACCAGGTAGCTGAGGTACAAGGGGCTCATTGTTGGCATTAATCCAGGCGTCGAAGGACTCAGGCTCTGGATCACCCTTCTCTCTCAGGTACACCACGTCCTCGGCGTACCTGTGAGCCAGTGCCCAAACGCCATAATCCGCGTCCGGGTACAGGGCAACCCAGGCGATCTTCATTCGGGCGTCACTATCAGCGTCACTCTCAGCAACGAGGCGGTTTTGCTCTGCCTCCAGGGTTGCTGCAAAGTTCTTCTGAGCCTGAGCAGCCTCCTTTTCTAGTTTTTGAACCTTGGTCTTCAGGTTGGTGTTCTCTTCAGAAACACCCTGAAGATTGCCAAGGTCCGTCTGAGCCTTCTTGAGCGCCTCATTAGCCTTTTTGGCACTCTCATCAGCCTTCTTCCTGGCCTCCTCCGCCTTCTTCCGGGCCGTCTCAGCATCAGCCGCCCGCTGTTTGGCCGTCTCCATATCCGCCTCTAGCTGCTGGATTTTAGACGTCTGTGTCATAATGATTGCTTTAGTTTCAAGTTCATTTACGATAGTTGAGTGTAAAGCAATATTGCCAGCGTCTATGGCGGACTTCTTGGCCCTTTTTACCTCTTCCCGTTTGCGGGAATAAGGACGTTTGAGCCCGTCCACCCGCAGCATGGCCTGCAAAAAAGAAGGCGGTATAAGTATGGCAGGCGGGATAAAACACTTGGAAAGAATTAAATTTGACAAGTTTCTTACCTCAGCTAGAAGGGATAGAATGCGTTCAAGATTGAACGTCTCTATCCCAGGGATACTGTCTTTATCCCTCTTCCGGACGGCTTCCAGCATGGCCTTGGCATGCTTTTGGACGTCTGGCCAACGGGGAGATTGATCTGCACCACAATCAATACGTGATGATTGCAAAACTAAGGCAACACCTATTTGTTGCCGGCCGTCTGAAGATGACGTATGTTGAGAGTGAGATTTCACTCGCAAAGGCCACCCCAGCTCAAGCGGGGATTCAAAAGGGTTCTTACCTTCAGAGCCAGCCAAGCGGGAACCGCTTGTAGGCGTGGAGAACTCCCCGGTCGCTGTTACGGGGTTAACGAGGTTGAGGCCCAAGCTGCCGCCTACCTTCTCGTTACGCCCCGCTATCCGCATCTGCTGATGCCCGGCTGAGGCGCTAGGAGTTGACGCAGAGGTGGATTTCTTGATTTTGTTGAGAACGGAGGGAGTCTCCTCCCTAGCCCGTTTGAGTTTCTTCTCAAACGTCTTTCCAACCTCTCTCCCCTGCGAAAATAACCAAGTCAAAGTTAGCATCCGGGAGAAATAATGGTAAAGATTGATTTAAGAAAGAGTCAGGCGTTTATTACCTTGGCTTTGACCTCAGCCGCAGCCTGTTCCGCAAGAGCCTTGCGGATGACTGCAGAGGATCGCTTGGGGGTTTTCTCCGTCTGCAACATGGTCAATGCTTCTTCTGCAAAAAGAAGGAAATTGGTTAATATCATAAAACAATTTCGATAGAAAAATACTACAGACGGATATAAACTCAGGCGCATACGTTTGGTGAACATGTGCCCTAGCCCGCAGGCGGCTAGGAAGCACTCGTCCCTGAATCAGGCACTCTGGGGGATCCAGTTCTTGGGAACTTTTATTGTTTCCGCGGTTGACAAGGTCGCGTTTGTGAGGCCAAAAAAGTCTGTCTCAATGATTTTGTCAAAATCTTCCTCTGGGATCCGGGGAAGAGCGCATTTCCGGCCCATCAAGTCGGGCTTCTTATTGTACAGACGGAATTCATAATTCTCCCGTCTGGTTGGAGGTGACATCAGGTCATTATGTATTGGGGCTGCGTAGTTAGAGTATACCACGCCCTCCAGCCGCCTGGGCTTCTGCTAAGATAATGCATGTTAGCAAAAGCCTCCCAGCCGGGGTTAAGCCCCTGAAACTCGCAGGCGGCAACATACCCCAGAATGTTTGTCCAAGACTTAGGGGTAAGTTGCCAGACTCCGAGGCCGTAGCCTCTCAAAATTGCCTTCACCGCCTGGTGAAAGGGGAAGCGGAGACCAGCCTTGAACGCCGCCTCATAACAGCCGAAATAGCTGTTGGCGTTCTCTTGATCGTCCTCCCAGGCAACGGTGCCATTCTCAGGCGGCACCTGGATCCTATACCCGTCTCCTAGCGGGTGCATTTTAGTAAAATTCTTCAAGTTTTCCTCCATTTGAATCCGGTCCTTGGAGGAGACATGGATGTTGAAGGGATCGTCCTTCTCGTTCCACTTTTTCCTTTCTTCCTCCTCGCTATCCGGAAGAGGGGGTAAATCGTCACTGCTCTCAGAGGTAGAGGCGGAGCTGTCGCTCTCCGTCTCCTCCTCACTTTGACTCAAGGGGGCAGAGGCGGCCTCGTCGCTGCCTTGGTCGCACTCTTCCAAAAAAGAGTCAGCGGGGGTTGAAGGGGCGTGCGGAGGGGATCTCTCCAGGGCCGTCTGGTCACCCTGACCAGACGTTTCTCCCTCAGGCGTTTGGCCGCCTGAGCCTTCGCTCTTGTAATTTGGATCAGTCGCCGTCTGCATTATCCTAGCCATTGTGTCCTGCACAGACACGTAACTGGTCGGAATCCGAGGCAAAGGGTGGTTCCAACACCCCGAGACGGCACTCCCAGTCCTAGAATCAGCTGTCCCTAGTGACCGACTGGACTCTAACCTAGGATGTGCCGTGTGTGTTGGTGATGCATCCATTTATTGCAAGAAATATGTACAAACGGTGAAAAAAGAAAAAGAGCTCAGAGAGGCAGAGACGATACCTTTCGATATGATATCTGAAACTAGGCGGGTTCGGCTGGGTCTCTGGAAGACGAGCTTTCTTGCTTGCGCCTGACTCAAGCGGATGACTTCTTCTCTCTCAAAGTTCACTCTAGAAAATTTTTTGTAAACGTACCAAAATTATGAGGGTAAACGGCTATATATAGAGGGTAAATACGGGGGCATTTCCGTAATTTACTCGGAAGGTGAACGGTTACTCTTTAAATGGTAAAATTACCACCAATAGGAGCGTGGCACATGTCACAGATGCCACGTGGCGTGCCACGTCACATATGTGAGGGGCAAATGTCCAATCAGAGGATGACACGTGTCAATCTAAGGATGGCCCAAAGTGGGCCAATCCCTACTTGACACGTGTCACTCCAGAAATTAAGGGAAAAAGGCGGCCTTCAGGCCCAAATCCCGAGAAAGCCGCAAAGCGGCGCAGCCCACTAATGATTACGGTTCAGTGACCTAATCAGAGGCACAAATTCCAAAGACCCTATAAATAGGGAGAGGTTCCTCATTTTGAGGACACGTTTTTACCATTTATTACACTATTTACTCTTTGATAGAGACATCCTGAGCTTGGAATCCGAGCTGATCCCTACCTAAATTTCCGCACCTTTTTCTCCCTTCAAGTTTCTAACTTGTGCGTCGGAGGCGGAGCACCACCCAACCGGTGTCTCCGTTTGTTTTGCAGGTACAGCTCCCGCCGGGTCAGTCTTCGAGTTGTAACTCTCCCGAGGGAAAAAAAACACCCAAAACAGTACCGACTTTCTCCCGAAAAAGAAAGACGCAAAAAAAGAATCGAAGTTTTTAAAAGTGCATGTTGAATGAGCTTAATCCGTTAACATTGTCTCTCATAGTATAAGGATTGTAGCATCTTAGACTGTCCTAGTTGACTCAATGATGAAATTATTAAGGTAACTTAGGCGTGGAGGTAAGTATTTTATACTTTGTGATGCAATGATGATTGATCTTGATATGACAAGGCAAGCTTCAGCGTTGTGTTAAGATTTCATGACAAAGGGTTCCTAAGGGAAGTATATTTGGTCATGTATCTGTGCGGTGTGTGAAAGTGACACTGAAGTTAGGTCACAAAGGCTAAGTGTGTGGAGAAAATATTTTGAAAAGAGTCAAATGGTGGTGACTCTTAGGCTAGGTAAGCTAATGACGTAAGGATCAATTCCAAAAGTCTAGCTCTAAGTAGATAGGGATGAGAATAGGAGATCCCTTGATATGATCAATGATGTGTGAATGCAAATGTGAATACGAATGCATTTATATTATGGACGCACCTCGATGTGAGGTTGCCTACGTATCCGTTAGGAATCAGGCCGAACGTAGCTCTAGCCGAACCTTACACAAGTGTGTGTATACCTTAAAAAGGTCTTTTTAAGGGTTGTAAAGTGGCTAGGCTAAAGGTTGAAGAGGAAGGGGATAAAAGGCTCAAGGCCCTAGATAAGCCCCCAAGGTGTGCAACTTTGCTTTGGAATATTTGTATTTTTACACTTGAGGTTTCTCACTCTTTTTTAGCTCTTTTTTTGCTTTATTTATTTTATTTTTATAAGTGTGGGAAATCCCGATCATGCGGTCTATTACTCACTTGGTATTCATATTTCTCAGGCACGGTACTGAGCACTCGATAAAAAACGCGATCTGAGACGTGTTCTTATCAAAGACATGTTCATGTCAAAGACATTGGAACACTTGCCTTTTTGTACACTTTTATTGTTTTTGCTATTTGATATTTTGAATCACTCAAGCTTTTTAAAATTGAAAATTGCATAAGTTGCACACCATCCCATCCCAAGGTTGGGTAGATGTAGGTTGGAGAAAGAAGGGTCTATCGTTAGACGAGGCTCAAAGTGGTTTATCAAAAAAGAATTGTATATTTGAAGGGTGAAAGGTAATATGATGCAGCTACAAGGGGTTGCTCACATCATTTATATACATTGTGCTTTGTTCAACAATGATTTTTTTTAAGCGATGTAATGAAATGATCATATGTAAGGAAATAAATGCTCATTTTATTAAAGGAAATAAATAGTGATCCTACAAAATAAATCCAGGGGAAAAGATAAAAAAAAGGTGCCTATGCTAGACTTATTGGGGAAGGGGTAAATAAAAGAAGTAGAAAAAAGGAGGACACGAAATCTTGTCGTTGAAGCTCGCCTCTTGTCTTGTGTCGTTTGCTTCATCATCACTCGCTCTTCTTGTTAGCTGGAGGCATGGGAAGCTTGTTATTATCGATCAAATGTTGGATAGCCTCCTTTAGCTTCCAACAACTCTCAATAGCATGCCCCCTACCTTGATGGTACTTGCAGTGTTTATCTGGATTCCAACTAGGCAATCTCTTTTTAGGTGCGGGATCTTGAATAGGTCCAATGGGAGTAATTAGTCCCTTGGCATGGAGTCGATCGAAGGAAACATTGTAACTCATCCCAATGGGGGTGAAGTCTTTCCGTAGTTGCTTCTTAGATCCTTTGTTATCCATGGCTAAAACTTCATTGAGATCAAAGGTAATAACATTGTTACTAGAGTGGACGTTTTCGGAAGAAGAAGGATTGTCGTTCTTCTTTCCTTTCCAGCCACTGTGGTTACTATTGTTAGTAGCTTTTTGTTTTGTGAGGTCATCTTCGATTTCAATACCGATATCATAGACGGCCTTGAAAGTATTCAAATTATGTTGATATTTTAAATGCTTTGAATACTTTTCTTGTAAATTCTTGATGAACATCCTCACAAATTCTTTTTCGGAGGGTACCTCAATCATTTTAGCGGAAGTTTCCCTCCACTTATTGAAGAAATATGTAAAGCCTTCATTGTCTTTTTGTCTTAGCATCTCAAGTTGTCTATAATCGGTTTCGACTTGAATATTGCATTTATACCTATCAATGAAAGCGTTTACAATAGCATCCCAAGTAGAAGTTTTCTCTATATCAAGAGAAAAGAACCATTGTTGGGTTTCAAGAGATAAAGGAAATAAGGAATGAAAGACTTTCCTATCAATCCCCTTAATGTTCATTATAGTTTCAAAGGCTCTTAAGTGAAGATAAGGATTATCTGTTGCCTTGAATTTAGGGATGTCAGTGGCATTGAACTTCTGCGAAAGAAGCTCCTTGTCCACCAAGACCCCTTGTGAACTAATGTCCTGAAACTTTTAATCACTAGATAGCTTGCTCAAGCTTTCTTGCATAAGGTCCATTTGTTTTTGCTTCATAGGGTCATTAATTTGAAGGGTTAAAGCCTTCAACACTTCAGTTATATCAGTCAATTGACTCCTAAGTTCGTTGACTTCTTCATGATTTGCCATTATCTTTTTAGCTTTTCTTTTCCGACTCACTGGTTTATCAAAAAGTTGAACTTGAACAAATATGTTATCTTTGATTAATCGCCCTTCTCTCCTTGACCAAGTACTGTGGAAAAGGAAATTAGGGATATTCATTGTTAATTATTTGACTCAAACTCAATTCGACATGCAAGGATGGAAGAAGGTAGGAAGAATAAAGGTTGTGATATGGAGGAATCATGTAGAGAATGGAAAGATGGTGTAGATGGAGAGATATGAAAAAGTTAGGAATAGAATGTACCCCCAACTCAAATGACGGAAAAATCCGACTCATGCATGAACTTAAGACATGGTCATGTTGCATATACATATTAGTGTGTGCTTTATGTTGTGAGTGCAAGTGACATGCTTTGACTCTTGTGTAAGACCATGGGACTTAGTGTCTAGAATCAATTAAGGACTTAACAAAGGTATTGTTATTAACAAAATAATCGAATTGATTAGCAAACTGTTTAATTAGACTCATAGTGACGACTCGAGCAAAATGGCGAACTATTGCCTAAGAAACAGGACTGTCGCCGCACTTTGAAGTGCAGCGCCAAACGACAGAGCTGTCGCTAGGCGTTGCACAACATAGTGTGGCGTTGCAGTCCAAATCGTGGAGCCATTGTTGGAGCGTCAATCAGGGACTGCTTTTAGTATTTTAACTCTACGGGACATGCCTAAAGTCGTACTAAGTCAATTCTGATTAAATTACTAGAATTTAATTACTCTAATTAATTAATTAATTAATTGGACAAAGTCCTTTTAGTTATTAATCAGTTTATTTTTGTCTTAAACACAAGTCATACAAACGGTTAGGAAAAACATATAGAGTATGCACAACAAATAATGCACAATTAGTCAAGTAGGCACAGTATGATGCAATGAGTTTGCAACCTAACCATGGCTCTAGTTCTCTAAAGTTCGGGATGGTTGGTCAAAGAGGTTCCATGGTTAATTGTCCAGATGCATCGCATTGAAGCCTTACCTTTTGAAGGATTGACGCGAGTGGATGGGACACCGCGAGTTAAAAACTCGCTTTCATGGTTTGGTGAATTCAACATTCTCGGATGTACCCTTTGTCGCACAGAGCGTTCAATCAGGTAGATGGAGCATAAATTCCCAGAGGGTTATCCCCATATGTATAACATATATGGGTTTCAGAAAAGTGAGAAAAACTCAATCAGGAAGTAGGATCGAGCAAACAGTGCTAAAAACTGGTTAAAATTAGAACGCATATTTCTGGCTCGGTATTGGTAGAACTTGGCGCCAGCGAACAGAGGCCGTCGCCGTAATTTGTCTCTTTCACCTGGCGACAGAGTCAAATCCTCGGCGACATACTCTGTTTTTTGGACGCCAGTTCCTACATGCCTCAGCAGCTTTCTGTGCTCGATAAAATTTTCCAGTTTCGCGCAGCGTTATTTCGATCCTAGTTGTGAAAGATATT